GGTAGACAGAAAAATACCAAACCCCAAACTTCACAAAAATCCTTTACTTCCTTTCTAGTGATAGGGTATCCTCCATGGCTCACGGGTGACCCACAACCTAGTATGAAATGCAGAATATTCACAAAGAGAGAAGGTGTGGGTACATGGCAGCACAGGCTATGATGTCCTGGGTGAGGAGGTACGTGTACATGACTTCCCTCAGGGCTGGAACACTCAGAAAAAGCATTCAAAGGAGTGGGGAGAGGGGGTGACCTATCAGCGGAACCTGGCAGAGCCAGTAAGACTTGGATAGGTGTAGCAGAAGAAAGGTGGCATTCCTGGAAGGAGTTTGCCCTGAACAACGGGGCAAAGGGAGGCACAGTGAACCGAGGCTGAAGAGAGTGTTGAAGTACTCTGTTTGAAAGAAGGAAGTAAAAACCTCATTTACTGCCTGAGACATGAGAAACCAAAATTTAAATGATAAAATATACTTTAACAGAGCACATAAACATAGGTGAATAGTTGAGCACTTGTGTGCCCGTCACGTTAAAAGCTAGAACATTATCTGAGTTTTTAAGTCTTTGTGTGTCCTCCCCTGGTTCCATCCCTCTTCTTTCTCCTAGAGCTAACCACCAAAACAAATATTTGTGTTTCCTTGCTCTTCTTAAGGATTTAAAACAGAAAAGTTTATTCAATTGTGACTACTTTTGACCTTTTTGTGAATGCAATCATACTGTATGCATTCTGTTACTTTGTTTCTATCAGCATTGTTTTGAGGTTCAGCTGAGTTTTATGTAACTGTTTTAAGTACATTTTCACTGCTGTATGAATAGTTTTACATTCTATTTGGGTGATTTCCTTTATTTAGCTATCACAGAACATGTTGATATAGGTATTCTTGTATATATTACTTGGAATATATGAACAAGAATTTATTTAGGATACACACACACACACATAAAATTGCTGGCCTACAGGAGAAGCACAGGTCTTGCTGTTCTACATAATAACCAATGTGCTTTCCAAAGAGGTTGCATCAATTGACATTCCAACTAGCAGAGGACCAGAGTTGCTGTTGCTCTTCATCTTGGCCAACACTTAGTATTCTCTAGCTTTTAAATTTTGCCTATCTGTTGAGAGTAAAATGATATTGCATTTTAGTTTTAATTTGCATTTCCTTGATTATTAATGCAACTGGAGTTTATATTTATGGGCCCCCAAAATAATTTTATGGAATCAATCTTAATGAATTGCTTTAAAGAATTTACATTGTTGCCCAACCGGTGTGGCTCAGTGGTTGAGCGTCGACCCATGCACCAAGAGGTCACTGGTTCGATTCCCGGTCAGGGAACATGCCTGCATTTCCGGCTTGATTCCCAGTGTGGGGCATGCAGGAGGTGGCCAGTCGATGTGTCTCTCTTATCGATGTTTCTCTCTCTCTAAAATCAATAATAAAGAAAAAAAATTCAAAAAAAAGAATTTACATTGTTAGTGTTATACAGCATTGGAATATTTTCTCCTCATAGTTTAAACAATATACATAAAGCAAATGTGTATTATACCTCCATGCATCTCCCAGACTTTATTTTACACATTTACATACATGTACGTTATGGGCTGTTTGTGTCTCCCCCAAATTCATGTGTTAAATCCTACCCCACCCAATGTGATACAGTATTAACAGATGGGGCCTTTGGGAGGTAATTAGGTCCTAAGGTGGAGCCCTCGTGAATGGGATTAGTACCATCATATGCAGAAACACAGAGCTTACTCCGGCCCTCTGCCATATGAGGATACAGTGAGAAAACAGCTGTCTTGGACTTCCTGCCAGCAGCTAGAGCTTGGACTTCCCAGACTTCAGGTGGTGAGAAAAAAATGTTTGTGGTTTAAGCCAACCAGTTTATGGTAATTTGTTATGATAGCCAAAACTAAGTCAATGTACAAATCTAATTTATCTACGACTGGCTTGTTTACCTTAATTGCTTGCTCACTTAACTTGAGCTCATTATGTTGGCATAGTACCAGTCTGGGTGAACCTGAAGCTACTCTCTGGCTCAGAACAGCTTGATGCTGGGACTCTGCTTTATGCACAGACTGATTTTATTTTTTTCTACAATAACCTGTGCACCCACCTATTTCTTATAGGCTCTGAGCATCCATCACCTGGGACATTCATTTCCTGGGCTTGCCACCATATCAACTTTTCACCAGGCTCCAGACTCCTACCTTGTTCGTGTCTCCTCTACTTTCATCTATTTAATCAACACTGTGCCTGAGTATGTGCCTGTGCAGGGCACTGTTCTAGGCATAAGGTGGGAAGCACACCTATGTGAGGTATGGGTGTTGACCCTGTCATAATAAGAGATGACATTATACTACATGGGACAAGTGATAAAAGATAGATGGGGGCCCTGGCCAGTTTTGCTCAGCGGTTAGAGCGATGGACCAAAGATTTGGGTTTGATTCTGGTCAAGGGCACATACCTTGAATGCAGGTCCCCGGCCCTGGTTGGTTTGTGTGGGAGGCAACCAATCGATATGTCTCTCTCACATCAATGTTCCTCTCTCTCTCCTTCCCTCCCACTCGATCTGAAGGTAAATGGAAAAATATCCTTGGGTGAAGATTAAAAAAAAAAAAAAGATAGATGGGGGAACAGATTCTAGCAGTCTATAGTTGGTACTGGCACGGTCATGGAACTGCTGAGAAAATCAGTTTATGACAGAGACATAAAATTTTGCTTTTCTCTATATTCACGTTTCTCATAGGATACACATTAACTTCTAGACTTCAAAAACCTTCATTAATGCAGCCTATGAAACTTGAATTATTACAGCAGTATTTACCACTTCAAGGCATCACTAGTCTTGAAATCAGTCTTTTCCCCCCTACCCTGCAGGTGCTAAAAACAAAGCACAACACAGGCGAGTTGCTTAAAGGCAACAAAGAAAAGGAAGCATGAATATACTCTCCTGGTTTTCCAGTTGAGACAGTGATTCTCAATTTTTGGGTTTACACATTATAGTAGATGCTGTATATACTGCTCGTATCCTTTGGGCCTCCTACTCTGAAATTTGCTCTCAGAGAGTTCTAGTACATGAGGACTACCACCTATGTCTCTTGCCTAAGTGCCTTCTCTGACTTCAGAGTGTGCTTAAGCATTAACATACTAAAGAGAGAAAGGAGTTGGTGGGTAAACACCTCATCTTTCTTGCATGTTAGTGGGACAATTCTGCCGTGTGTTCCAGTTTCTCAGACCGTTCAGGCAGGATGAGCCCACACAATTACCCCTCATTAATGTGCCCTTTAATGACATTCCTTCCTTTCCTGTCTCACACCCTCAGAGTGCCTCTTGGAGTCACCTCCTAAACAAACTATTTGCATCTAATCCTGGTTCAGAGCTTGTTTTGGGAAGGAACCCAAACTAAGACAACGACTCCTTTGAAAATGTGTGGAAAAACAAGGTCCCCAGGAAAATGTCCTCCAGTATCACTCTAACTTCCCTTTCCCCCACCCCCCAAAAAAATTACTGAGGGAGCCATACACAAGGACCAGCAACTTAACAAGAATGAGAGGATTACTTTATTAATAGCTTCAAAGTGCCTAAAACCCCTTAATACCCTGTTTAAAACCCTCTTTGTGTGGCTGGCCATCTTTTCCAAACTCTCTAACACATGGCATTAGAAAAAGGTGTCAGCAGTAATGGCTGACACCTGTTTCTACAGCAAGGGGCTATGCTTTCCGACTTGGGCATTCTACACCTTTGCTGGGGCTGGAATCTTCTAGCCTCTCAATTTCCACCTGCTGACATCATGGGAACTTTGCCGGGTCTGATACAAACGCCACCTCCTCCGAGAAACGTTCTCCAATCCACCAGCCCAGCGGCCACCCACCAGGGGCTCCGCTCCCACAGGTCCTAGCGAGGCTTGGGCTTTGGTCCCGAGGTCGGTGGGCCTGCCTGGCAGGGCCTTGCTGAAGGTCTCGTCCTTCATGGCAGTTGGTCTGAAAGATGTCCGACTACCAACAGTTTCGCTCCTAGCCCAATCCACGCTGATACATTCTTTTTTTTCCAGTTCACCACGCGCGTTCCATTTTCACTTCGTTTATTTTCGCAAGGGGCCTAAGTGGTCAACCTGAGAACAAGTTCAGAGAGGTCACACGACAGTCAGAACCCTTGAAATGGGCCACATCTCCTGTGTGTAATGGCCCAAGTTGCTTCGGGGTGGGGCGGACTTCCCGAGGTCCCCAACAGAGAAGCTCATTTGAGCTCCAGACCCGAAGTTGCGAATGGACGGAACTCGCTCCCAGCCCATGAGGGTGCTCAGAGAACCGCTCCGGGCTGACGCAGAGAACTTCCGCCTGGAGAAGAGTGTCGTCATGGGACTGCTTCCAGTGCCACTCAGGCCGTAGCCCAGGGCCTTTTATCCTAGTTGGCAGCCTTCCACACCCCGAGGCTACCCCACCCAGCTACTCCCCTGGGCTTCTCCACACCCAGCGGAGCCGTTTGCACGTCTCGAGGGTGTGACGGGCACGCCGTGACGTCCCTCCAGAGAAGGGTAGGCGAGCACAGTACTACCGTTTTTGAGGACCTGGAGCCCTGGCGCGGAGAAGAGCGCCGAGAGCCTGGAGGCGGGACTAACATATGACTGATGTCCACACACGCCCATTGTCTTTCCGATTCCTTCTCAAACAAACCAATGAGTGCGACAACGGAGACGGCAACGTGCCCCCCGCCGCCAGAAGTTGCTCCGCCCCCTCCACTCGGCCTCCCCGGGTCGCCATGCTTGGTGTGGCTACAGTCTCGTGCGACTCTAGACTCTTCTCTGACTCTCCGGTATCACTGAAAAACTCATTCTTAAGCATTCCTTCCCGTGCACTGTCAATTTCCACCTTCTCGGGCTTCTTGCTCGCTCGCTGCGAACCCAGCCACACTTGAGATGGCAGCAGAGGGGGCGGGGGCCAAGGCGGGGCGTGACCGGCGCGATGACGTCAGCGCGTTGCGTGTCGGCAGGTGAAGGGAAAGTTTGGCCCGTGCGTGGGGCTGGGGTGGAGGGCGGGACAGAGGGGCCGGGCCCAGGCGAAGCTCCTGTCGCTGCTGCAGCGGAGGCCGAGGCCGGGACTTGGACCGGGCCGGAGAGTGGCGGGCGGAGAGGAGCAGGAGGCGAGGTCCGCCGGAGCTTCGAGCCCTCGCCGCTCTGCCCCGCGGTGACCTCGCACCCAGGCGCTGTCCGGACCCGTGGTTGTTCTCGAGGAGATTGGTGGGGTCGCGGCGGCAGCGGTTGGGGGTGGGGAGAGGCGCGGCGAGGAGAGGAGAGAGGTCAGCGAGTTTGAGGGAGGACCGAGAGCTGTGCTGCCGTCATGTCCGAGGACTCGAGCGCCCTGCCCTGGTCCATCAACAGGGACGATTACGAGCTGCAGGAGGTGATCGGTGAGAGCTGGCGCCACAGAGTGGGGAGGCACCGCTCTGGGCAGCGGGTGACACGCGGGATCGTGGGGACCTGCGGAGCTCGGGGAGCGCAGGACTCACAGATATGAATGGGCACTGTTTGGGCACGGGGTTGTAGGGCGCGTGGGTGAGGCTCCGGGTGTGTGCAGCGCGTGTGAGGCGGGTTAGGGGATTTTGAGTGGTGTGCCTGCAGGGCGGGGTGGGGTGGGTTTGAGGGGCTCGGGGGAGATGTGTGTAATTATAGATGTTTGAACCTTAGCGACAAATGTGTCTTGGAGAGAAAGAAAAGTGCAGGGTGGGGCAGGCCTTTACAAGGCTGTACAAAAGGGATATTGGAGTTGTGGACGGCCACCTATTTCGAGGATTGTGGGATAGGGTGCTTTAGTTCATTCCAGCATCGGTGCGAGAACTCTTGAATGCCCACGAAATGCCAGACAGTGCCGCGGTGGAGCTGGGGCTCCTCTCCGGACGAGGCTGCAGGCACCATACTGAGCAGCTTGGACATAACTTCCAACCGCTTGGGACCGACTTTGTAATCAGGGAGGTAGACATTAAATAAGTAAACAAACAGCAATAGGTTTGGGGCAAGTGCTAAGAAGGAAATAAGATGTTCTGATAAGAAATAACCTGGAGACCTGGTTAGGGTGATTTCAAGGAAAAAGCTTTTTTTGGAAGCATGTAAGTTGAGCACTGAAAGGTGAGAAGGAAGTTAAAGAATCAAGGTTTTTTGTTCCTACCCAGAGATGAGAAAATGCAAAGGCTCGGAGGAAGGAAAAAGCTTGATGTGTTTTAGGAGCTGAAGGAAGATTGGCAAGGATTGAAGGAAAGGTTAGGGAGAGGCCAGAGCTTAGGGACCTTCTCAGCCTTGGTAAGGATTTTGGAATTTTAAGTGTTACTGAAGAGCTTTAAGCAGGGACATGACATCCAGTGGGTCTGGCTGTTGTGTGTGGAGTGGATTTGAAAGGGGTCCAGGAATACCAGTTGGCATAGACCAAAACTTGCACATAGATTGTAGTTGTCAGAGAGGCACAGTGATTGGGGGAGGGGAGGGACTGTGGATGATGAGAGGAATATTTGTTGAACAACAATAATACAGTGACTTTAGAAATAAAAAAGGTATGTGTTTAGTTAAACAGAACTTAATCCAACTAACATGAGCAGACCCCTATGTATTGGAGGAAGGAGATTGTCTACTTTGCTAGATCAGCATCCTGTCCTAAAATTAGTTTTGTAACAAAGACTGGCTGAAAACTCACTAGCTGTCTTGGGGGTGTGAGTGTTTATTGGACTGTATCTGTCTTTTAGAAAAACTTTGTCATATTTCTTTTTTTCACTTCTTGTTTCAAAACAAATCTGGGCTAAGTTTTGTCTGAAAGACATCACATCTTTTTCCTTAAGTCACTTCATGGGCCTGTGTTCTTGCTGTGTCTTGACATGTACTGGTTGGCTCTAAAAACAGCTAGCCAGGTCTCTGTCTTGATAGATTGCTTCTGGGCCCCTCAGAGTTTCCTGTCAAAGAAAGGGATTAAGTGGGAGTTTCCAAAGTCATGTCTGAAAAGTAGAGTCCCTCTGATTGTCTTAGAAGAGAAGTTTTTACATTCATTTTTTTTTTAATTTTTTTTTCTTTATTGATTTTTTTAGAGACAAAGGAAGGGAGAGGGAGAGAGAGATAGAAACATCGATGAGAGAGAACATTGATTGGCCGCCTCCTGCATAGCCCTCACCAGGGATTCAGCCCACAACCTGGGCATGTGCCCTGACCAGAAATCAAACCAGCGACCTCTTGGTGCATAGTTCAATGCTTAACCACTGAGCCACACTGGCTGGGTGCTTGTGGCCATCCTTAATGCCATTGCTATTAAGGTGGCATAGGGCTCTAGAAATTTAGAGACTTGTGTCCTGAGACCAGGAGGGTGGAAAAAGGGGAATCAGCCCTCTGGGATAGGGTTAGTCTTTTTCTCATTCTCAGAGCCATGGATAAAAGTTTGTTTATGGGCCCCCAAAATAATTTTATGGGATCAATCTTAATGAATTGCTTTAAAGAATTTACATTGTTGCCTGGCTGGTGTGGCTCAGTGGTTGAGGGTCCTATGCACCCAGAGGTTGCCGGTTTGATTCCTGTTCAGGGCACATGCCCAGGTTGTGGGCCTCATTCCCAGTGAGGGCATGCAGGAGGCGGCCAGTTGATGTTCTCTCTCATCGATGTTTCTGGCTCTCTCTCTTTCTCTTCCCCTCTCTCTAAAATCAATAAAGAAAAAAAAGAATGTCCATGTGATTTGATCACCTTATTTTAAAAAATAATTTTACTGGCCCTGGCAGGTTTGGGTCAGCGGTTAGAGTGTTAGCCCACCAACCAATGAATCTCAGGTTCCATTCTGGTCAATGGCACGTACCTGGGTTGCAGTTCATCCCTGCCCTGGTTGGGGTTGTGCAGGAGGTAACCAGTCGATGTGTCTCTCTCACATTGATGTTTCTCTCTCTCTCTCTCTCCCTCCCCCTCTCTCTCTCCCTCCCTTCTACTCTATCTGAAGATAAATGGAAAAATATCCTCACATGAAGATAAAAAATAATAATAATAGCTTTACTGCTCTGGCTAGTGTGGGTCAGTTGATTTAGCATTGTCTGTGCACCAAAAGTTGTTGCAATTTCTGTTCGGGGCACATGCTTGGGTTTCTGGCTGGATCCCCAGTAAGGGGTGTGCAGGAGGCAGCTATCGATGTTTCACTCTCACATCAGTGTTTCTCTCTCTCTAAAAAATCAATTAAAAATAAATTTATTGAAGTATAATTTAATATTATAAAATTCACCCATTTTAAGTGCAACATTTAGTGATTTTTAGTAAATTTACTGTGTTGTGTATCAATCAGCATAATCCTGTTTTAGAATATTTTCATCACCTCATTGAGATCCTTTGTGCCTGTTACAGTTAATCCCTGTTCCCACCCCCAGCCCCAGGCAACCACAAATCTACTTTCTGTCTCTATAGATTTGCTTTTTTTGGACATTTCATTTAAGTGGGTTCATATAACATGTGGTCTTTTGTGTTTGGCTTCTTTCACTTAGCATAGTATTTTTCACTTTTTAAAACAATTGTAAGGAAGTATAAGTTATATACCATAAAATCCACCCATTTTAAATGTATCATTCTATAGTTTTTTAGTAAATTTACAGAGTTGTTCAGTCATCACCACAACCCAATTTTAGAACATATTCATCATACCAAACCGATGGCTCATGTCCATTTGCAGTCCTTGTTCCCACCCCCAGCCCCAGGCAACCACAAATCTACTTTCTGTTTCTATAGATTTGCTGGACATCCATGTAAATATAATCATATAATATGTGATTCTTTGTGTTTGGTTTCTTTAATTTGGCATAATGTTTTTTGAGGTTCATTCATGTTGTAGTATACAGTGTTTTCCCTTTCTATTGGACAACACTTGATGGACAACAGCTTTCTGCTTTTTGGCTGTGAACAGTCACATCAGATCTTCATGTGAACATGTTTCATTTTTCTTGAGTGGAATTGTTGGATCATATTGTAAATTTATGTTTAACTTTTTAAACTGACTGCACCATTTTACATTCCCATTAATGATGTATGAAAGTTCCTGTTTCTTTATCCCCCTTGCCAGATTTGTTTGTAGCCATCGTAGTGGGTGTGAGGTGGTATCTCATTTCGATTTTGTTTTGCATTTCCCAAATGACTAATGATGCTGAGCATCTTGTCATGTGCCTGTTAATTAGCTTTGTATATATCTTCTTTGCTGAAATGTCTATGAAATGTCTATTCAAATCTTTCGCCCGTTTGGATTGTTTTCATTTTTCTTTTTGCATTTATCTTCAGATAAAGTGGGAAGGAGAGAGGGAGAGAAACATCGATGTAAGAGAGATACATCTACTGGTTGCCACGCACACAACCCCAACAGGGGCCAGGGATGAACTGCAGCTGAGGTGCGTGCCCTTAGTGGGAACCGAACCTGGGACTCTGGTCTGCGGGCCGACACTCGCTGAGCCAAACCAGCCAGGGCTGGGTTGTTTTCCTATTGAGCTATTGGGGTTTGTGTATGTATTCATTGCCCTTAGTGGGAACCGAACCTGGGACTCTGGTCTGCGGGCCGACACTCGCTGAGCCAAACCAGCCAGGGCTGGGTTGTTTTCCTATTGAGCTATTGGGGTTTGTGTATGTATTCATTCTAGATAGGAGTACTTCACCTGATACATGATTTCACATATTTTCTCCAAGTCTGTAGCTTGTCTTTTTAGTTTCTTTCTTCCTTCCTTCCTTTCATTTTTTAAATGTTTTTATTGATTTTTTTTTAGAGAGAGATAGAAACATCCATGTGAGAGAGAAACATCGATCAGCTGCCTCCTGCATGTCCCCCTACTGGGGTTGAGCCTGCAAGCCTGGCATGTGTCCTGACTGGGAATTGAAGCGGGCCCTCTCAGACCTTGGGACTACGCTCAATCCATTGAGCCACACTGGCCGGGCTCTTTTCAGTTTCTTTCTTTTTTTTTTTATCCTCACCCGAGGACATTTTTTCATTTTTTGTTCAGATAGGTGGAAGGGAGAGAGGGGAAGAGAGACAGAGAGAAACATTGATGTGAAAGGTACACATCAAGTGGCCGCCACCCGCACAACCCAACCAGGGCCGGGGACAAACTTCAACCGAGCAACCGAGATATGTGCCCTTAGCGGGAACCAAACCCAGGTCTCTCTAGACCGCAGGCTGACGCTCTAACTGCTGAGCCAGACCAGCCAGGGCTCTTTCCAGTTTCTTAATGGTATGTTTTAAAATATAAAAGTTTTGAATTTTGATATGAGTTTAATTTATCACTTTTTTCTTTTAATTGATTGTGCTTTTGGTATTGTAGCTAAGAAATCTTTACTAATCCAATATTACAAAGATTTTTTCCCCCTGTGTTTTCTTCTGAGTGTTTGAGTTTTAGCTGTAACACTTGGTCCTCTGATAACATTTTGA